TAAGTGAGAGAATTGCTGATAAGATAATGAAATTCTGTTCAACAAATGTTTACCAAAAATATGTAACATGCCATCATTAATTATGGAGATATAAAGGTTTTGAAACACACTCAAATAGAAAATCAAATACATGAAATTAAACAAAAGGAAGTTCTGATTTTTAAGAAAGAACACAGTTACTTTGCCATGGTTACTATGAAAAAAAAAGTTGCTCTACTGAAGAGTTTTGCAAGGGCCTCTTTCATGTTTTTGTTCCTGAGACTATAGATAAAGGGGTTCAACATGGGTGTGACCACTGTGTACATGATAGCTACAATGATGTCCTTGTTGATGGAGTTGTTCAATGTTGGGAACAGGTACTGTCCAAATATTGCCCCATAGTACAGAGAAACCACAGAGAGGTGGGAGCCACATGTGGACAATGCTTTGCTGACCTTCTTAGTTGAAGGGACCCTGAGAAGAGTGGCCCCAATGTAGCCATAAGATACCAGAATACATATAAATGGTAGAGTAATTACCACCATTCCTACTGTAAACATGACCAGCTCATTGAGAAATATGTCTGAGCAGGAAAGCTTGAGCAGGGCAGCCAGGTCACAGAAGAAGTGGGGAATGGTGTTAGCAGCACAGAAGGACAGCCGGGTCAGGAAAAGTGTATGAGAGAGGGAGCTAGCAAAGGACAGGATCCAGGACAGAGCCACTAAGAGGGTACAGAGCTCTTCCCTCATGATGGTGGTGTAGTGGAGAGGATGGCATATGGCAACATACCGGTCATACGCCATTGATGTAATAAGAAAGCTATCCAAGTCAGTAAAAAATATGAAAAAGTACATCTGGGAAATGCACCCTGCAAAAGAGATAGACTTAAGATTAGTCTGCATGTCTATCAACATCTTTGGGACAGTGACAGATGAGAAAGAGACATCAGTGAAGGCCAAGTGGCTGAGGAAGAAGTACATGGGGGTGTGGAGGTGGGAGTCCAGCCTGATGAGCAGGATGATGAGCAGGTTCCCCAGCACCGTGGTCAGGTACATGACCAGGAAGAGGACAAAGAATGTAGCCTGCTGCTCTGGCTGGATGGGGAGCCCCAAGAGGAAGAACTTGGACACATTGCTCTGGTTCTCAGATCCCATGCTGATCTTCTCACTGAACAGGATGAGAATGATTGACAATATTAGTGATGGAAATAATCTTTAGCAATCATATTTTTAATTTTTTTATTAATTTTAATGAGACACAAATAGCAATGAGTCTGTTTCAAAACTGATTAATAGGACAGTTTCAATAATTAATACATTGTACGTTGTTATCTTCTTAGTGGTTATCTATAGTATATGAAGCAGACAGGATATCCTGTTCAAACACTATTAGTACAAATCTTTCTTCTCATTGAATTAAGAGAAAGTAGCAGTATATCTATCCTAACTATTCTGTATATACAAATACAAAATGGTCCTTCCTTTTAATCCCCTTTTTTTGTTTAGTCCTGTCAGAGATGCATATTCCATTGGCATCTAAATACTATGGGCGCATGAATTCAAAACAATCCAACACAGTCCAGCAGTCCACAATAGTAGTGGGTTATCCACAGATGTTGTTGACTTGAGCCTTTCACAGCTCAGCATATTAATATGGCTTTACTTTATATACCTCATTTTTGTATTTTCTGCTCAATAGTTAAGACCAAGATAAAGAAAGATCTATATAACAAGAAATGTAATTTTTGCATCTTATGAGCTCAGTCAAGTCCCCTCAGGGTTTATCCTGTCATCCTGTACCGCAGTTTGTAGATCCTTTGTCAGAGTCAGCCCTGTGGATGAGTCATGGCCATTGCTTGACCAATTTGCTCTCTGTGAAAGCCTGAGAGAATGTTTTCTCTCCATGTGACTCTCCTTAGGCACACTCTACATCATCGATCACATTCCTCTGTGGTCTTTGATTTATGTCTCCCTTTTTTGTCTTGTTTTGTCAGAGATGAGTGTTTTATTGCCATTCAAACATTGTAGGTATGTGAATTCAGCAAAATAACTCAGTATAGTCCAATAATAGTAGTGAGTTATCAGCAGGACTGGCAATGTCAGAAGTTGTTGACTTGAGCATTTACAGCTCAGCATATTAACGTGGTTCTACTTTTTATACCTCATGTTTATATTTTCCTGCTGGATGGTTAAGACTAAGACAAAGCAAGACCTATATAACAAAAAAATGTACCTTTTGTATCTGACAGGTCAGTAAGATTGCCTCAGGATTTACCCTGAAACACTGTACAGCAGTTTGTAGAACTTTTGTCAATGTCAGCCATCTGGATGAGTCACAACGGTTGCTTGACCAGTTTGACCAATCATATTTTTAAAACGTCAATGTTCCAATTTAACCTGTCTTTTAAAATATTTTCCCCTATATGCTGGTATGTAAGTGAACTAGTAAACCATACATGGAAAATGTTAATGAAAGCCATTATTTTGACAACAAAAATGAACTATTATTATACATAGTAAAATTCCTGTGACATTGAGGATTAATTATAGCTAATTTACTGCCCCAAGAAATTCTACTACAGGATTTGACTTCAAAATCATTTTTAAATTTCGATGACAAATAACATTTTCAAGTAAGAGAATGCAAAAGAATATTATTATTTCCCCCTGAATGGTCACCAAGATGTATATATTTTGTTTCAATTAAATAGAGGGGCCCAAACAATTCTAGATTCTATTGTTATTACAGTCAAAGCAATCTTTTTTTTTAAAACATATGATGCATGCCTTTCTAGGGATCAGTCCATTTCTTCTGTGTCTTCTATTGTGTGAGAGTAAAGGTTCTCAAAGTAGCTATTGACAGTCTTCCGAATTTCCACTGGGTCTTTGGTAATTACACCCTTTTCATTCCTTAATGCTTGTATTTGAATTTTTTCTTTCCTCTTTTGGATGAGGTTAGCTAGGGGCTTATCAATTTTATTTAATCTTTCAAAGAACCAGCTTTTTGATTCATTAATTCTTTGAACTGTTTTCTTCATCTCAGCTGAATTAATTTCTGCTGTAATCTTTATAATTTCTTCCCATATTTGGGCTCTGGGTTTGCTTTGCTCTTCCTTTTCTAGATGTAGTAGGTATTTATTTGTTCCCCTTCTGTTTTCCTAATGTGTGACTTAACAGCCATAAATTTCCCTCTGAAAACTGCTTTCATCACATCCCATAAATTCTGATAAATTGTGGTTGACTTTTCATTGAATTGTAGATATTTCTGGGAAGATGGCTCTGTAGAATAAGCACTTGCCTGGCAAGCGCAAGGGTCGGAGTTCAATCCCCAGTTCTGAAAAAAGAAAAAGAAAGAATTGTAGATATTGTTCAATTTCTTGTTTCTGATCAAGGAGATTATGGGGCTACAGAAGAATGTGATCTATGATGTAGAGTGTGCCTAAGGAAAGTCACATGGAGAGAAAAGATTCTCTCAGTCTTTCACAGAGGGCAAATTGGTCAAGCAATGGCTGTGACTCATCCACATGGCTGACACTGACAAAGGATCTACAAAGTGCGGTACAGGGTTACAGGATAAATCCTCAGGGGACTTGACTGAACTTATCAGATACAAAAGTTACATTTCTTGTTATAATGGTCTTGCTTTATCTTGGTCTTAAGCATCCAGCAGAAAATGTATAAAAATGAGGTATAAGGCATGAAGCCATGCTGGTATGCTGGGCTGTAAAGGGCTTAGGTCAACAACTTCTGACATTGCTAGTCCTGCAGATGACCCACTACTATTATGATCTACTGGACTATATTGGAATATTTTGCTGAATTCATGCACCTACAAACTTTAAATGACAATGGAATATCCTTCTCTGACAAAACTAAACAAAAAAGGGGATACAAGTGAATGATCATTTTGTATCTGTATATTCAAAATAGTTAGGGTAGATATACAGCTACATTCTCTTAATTCAATGAATAAGATTTGTTCTAATAGTGTTTGTGGATGGGATGTCATGTCTGAATCTTATACAATGAATAACCACTGAGACAACAATGTGCAATGTATTTAATATTGAAACTGTCCTACTAATTGGTTTTAAAATTGACACATTGCTAATTGTTTCTCAATAAAATTATTAAAATAAAATATTTGAAATGATAGTCACTGATTTTAAGATGAATGCAACAAACCTAATTTGGTTTAAAAAATCAGTAAGCCTTTCTTTCTCCTACATTTCCAATCTGTTTATTCTACCACCACCATTCTTACCTTTGCTGGCTTTTCTGTTCCAACTTACCTAAAAGATATACATCCATTTTAAGTTACCCCTTTTAAATAGGAGATTATCCTGGATTAGTTTGGTTGGTTCTAAGTAATTACAAATTCTTAAATGTGAAGCAGGATGCTGAAGGGTCATAGTTAAAGAGATATTTAAAGATGCTGTATTGCTGGCTTAGGAAACATAGAAAAGGGACATAAGACAAGGCATGTAAATGTCTGTTAGAAGCTGGGAAAGCCAGGGAAACACATTCTGCTTTAGACCTTCCAGGATTGCAATGTTTGCATTCTAACACATTGAGACCCATTTTAGGTTTCTAAATTGCAGAACAGTGAGATTAGATATTTTTAAGCTGCTATGTTTATTGTAATTTGCTAAAGTAATAAAAGAAAGCTTATGCCTCAGTGTTAGAATGACTGCATTACTATTCAGAGTTTCTGCCTAGCTGGGAGCCAATATATAGCAAAATCCAAGTTTTCACCTACAAAATTGTCCTGCATACAACAAAACGATGCACTTGTTCAACAGAACTATTTCCTACCTGATGAGTAGGAAAATGAAGTTGCTATCTCAGTACAAACATAGGAAGGAGCATCCTAAAACACTCTTGGGATGATCTTTTTTTTAAAAAAAAAAAAAAAAAAAAAAGGCAGAGCAGTAGAGAAGCTTTTGCTCATCCAGTGGCCTACCCAAGAGAAAACATTCAGCAGAGCAATAAACCAAGGGAAGATTTCAAAATTTCTGATTTTTTAAATGTAATGACACAGACTTAATTCTAATTACAAAGAGCTATCCTCAACCTAATACAAGTGTAGAATCATGTCAGTCCTAAACATTAGAAGTGTTAGACACACATCTTTTTTCCAATACCCAAAGAGTGAACATTTCCCCAGTTGTAATCCTCAACTCCTACCCATGAGGACAATGTAAGACAGGAAAAAACTAGACAAGCTTAAGCCATAATCATAGTTAAATTGCCATTTCTATCACAAAGCAGATTTATTAACCTTTGCAATCTCCAAAAAATGAAAATGTTTGGACAACATATAATTATAATCTATAAATCATTGTAATGGTGAAATGAATTGATATATGCAAAGCCCCAAGTACCAGAGCTTGCATAGAGTCCTATAAATGTCTCCCCAACTTCCCTTACAGATAAAGACAAAATACAAATCTATCCAGAGAGGAACCAGAGCAATTTACATTCTTATATACCTAGGATTAAATGATTAATAATAGTTTTTTTGCTATTCTGAATGTTGATGCTTCGGACAAAGATGTGGAATTGAGCACAAAACTTACTGGCAAAAAATAAGTAGCAAACCAGGAGGAGGAACGTAGGATACATATTAATGTAGAGGAAAAATGGTCCATCTACTCCTAGGATTATCATTCAGACAGTTACAAAGCTGATAGATAATATTTGTCAGAGAAGGAAACTCAACAGAAAATTCCTGCCTGGGAAAGGCTATCCTTACAAAAGTAGTTTGTATTCTGATTCAGCAGTGGAGTACAATGCACCTACCTCAGTATCTGGCGATGAGCTGAGTGATTTACCAAGCAGCCATGTGTTAACCCAAGAGCAGCCTACAATATTTTAGAGACAAGGCAGGAAGGTAATTATGTATTCATCTAGATGTGACTTTTTTTTCTCTGATCCCAGCCTCCTGTATCTTTTCCCCTTTAATGATCTTTCTTTACGCTATCCTTCTTTTCAACTTCAAGTACCTTCTTATTGTTTTCAGAAGACATGCATTGTTCTAAACATTTCCTATGTAACTAAGATTAGGTACTAAACAAGTGACTCTGAAAGGATGTTTTTCTTTTTAAAAAAGCATGAAATTATTACTTCTTCTGTCTCTCTTTTTTTATTCTACT